TTTTTTTTTTTTTAATGTTTTATCAACCCTCTTTCATAATATTCTTCACACTGTTAGACATTTCTAAAAGATCATAATAATAATGTTATTATTATATCTACAGGTTAAAACACATAATGAAATAGGATATATATTTATAATGCATAAGATATTATTAATATTAATATACATTCATTATCTATTTTTTATTTATTCTGTTCATATTATTGAAGTAAGTCCATCTGATGATCACAATGTTAAACAATTGTATACAAGCAGGCATTACCCATTAACAATATTCACAAACAGTGTTAAAGAATATGGTGGAGATTTCCTTAATATTAAGATAATACTCAGATGGTATAGAATTTTTTTCTTGTATGTAAGGCTCTGATCTGAAATCCGATCCAATCTGATCTGTTTGATCTGTATATATACAAATTTATGATACCTATTAATATCCTTTGTATTATTGAAAAAATCCAATAATATAATAATGATAATTTTCTTTGCATAAAATACCTTTCAAATGTTTTTAATGATGGTCTTAGTGATAATTTTAATGATTCTTATTAACAATTTTCTTTATTGCATGTGCCTCAAAATTTGGTTAAAAGGGGTATTAAAAATTTGAAAAAAATTTTTGTTTTTTCTATTTTTATGTAAAAAAAAAATTTTTTTTATATTATCTTTATGCAAAATAAATAAGCACAAAATTAAGCAAATTAAAGTTAATTTCCAAATATGATATCATATTTTGTGTTGCGTCAAAATATAAATTGATGTGACACTAAAATTATTGATCTGAAACCTGATCTGGTTTGATCTGATCTGTTTGGAGCCTTAAACGGGGGTTGGCCGTGTGGTTTGTGGCCTAGTACTAGGCCCTATAAATTATTTTTTTTTGAAATAATCGAATTTCAATTTAATCCCTTAAACTGTCCACATTTTTGAATAAGGAAATTTCGAAAATTTTATTGGTAATTTACAAACTTCCACCAATCAAAATTAACCAAATCGCACAATCAAAAATTTTATTATGAATATATCAATTTTTAAAGTAATGATCAACACGGGCATGGTGGACTTTTTACAGTTTTACAAAACCCATAATAATAATGGCCGAATTTCTATATATATATCAATGTATAAAATCCCAAATATCATTCATTAATTAGAAAGCATGATGATCAGAAAATTTTTCTATATAAAAAAATTTAATTGTACAAATTTGTATGATAGCCAGTTTAAGGGATAATAATAATAATAATAATGACATAGCAAAAATCAGAAAACATGAAAATTTTGCATGCATATTCTACAGGACCTAGGCTACAAGCCATATATACTTATTATGTGTGTTTTTGCATTATTGATTCTCTGAAATTTGCTGTAGTGTACCATTTGTTCTAATAAAATCTATTTGAATCTACTAAAACAAATAAACAAATGGATAAATTTATTATTTATCAAAAAAAGAAATAAAGAAACTTTAAAGTATATAAATATGGACTGAGATTGATGTATCAAAAATTTTTGCAACATTAAAAATAATTAAACTTTATACATTTAAATAAATATTTTGAATAAATTCTTTAAAAACAACACTGTTTAAATTGACTACAGCTTGTGTGATCAATTCAATCATTAAACACTAAAGGAACAAAATTAAATTATTTCATAATAAAAGCTATTTGTTTATTTATTTATTGTTGTTTTTTGATTTTAGTATTAATGCGCAGTTTCTATTCATAATACAAGTTTCACTTTATATGCTTTTTATGCTTTTATTTGAATTATTATTCATTTTATTAGTTTATTTGTTTTATTTGTTTTATTCAAATTATTATTACTCAAATTATTTGTTTTATTCAAATAAACATTTGAATAGAAAACCCTAGCTGCTACTCAAGATATGATATTATTTTAGTAAGGGCTTTAGAAATATTTAACCAATAAATTAATTACAAATAGGCTTTTAGACTATATGATAAAAATATTATTAACTTATCAGTATGCTAATACCTTGATTATTTTTTTAAAGAATAATCAGATTCTAATATTTGCTGATACCTCATTACCCCCATTACTCAATTTGGCATCATTTGACCAGTAAAGAGAGAGCCAATAGATATATAAGCAAAGAAAGATGGGAGCACAAAAGGATTTTAAATCATGCACAAACATAACAGCTTGATGGCTTGATTGACATAGTGGTGCAGTCTTGCAATTTTTTTTATTGTATATTTTAAATATAATTAATCATGTCTTTAATAAAACAAACATGACTTGGCTATTTAATCATTTCCTTCATTTCCTTGTATGTGAATGCCTCCATCCATCAAATATTCATGATGGTCATGATGATGTTATAATTGACATAACAAACAATTGCATCACTCAGGTAGTAATGATACCAAGGCCATGTATGAATGAAACTTTAATAATGCCTGTCTACCCAGATCTCTGGGGTTTACAAAATAAATTACTTTTCCTGATTATCAATAATAAATCTGATGTTGATTGCAGGTGTCAGATTTAATTAAAACTTTCCAGTCACAAATAATTGCAAACGGGTGCTTTCACACCATCCCACCCCTATGGTACTTTTTCCACAGGCAAGAGACTTATATGTTGGGAGGCTTTGGGCAAAACATTCCCTTATCTTCCTCTCAGACTAGGCTTGGCTGTTATTATATAGGCATTGATCATTGATAGCTGGCATTTGTGTGATGATTGCTGCATGTTATTGCCACACTAGCATAAAAGTTGTCACCTGCAACTGATTGAAAATTCTCCAACTTGGAAGTTGCAACCTGGGTTGCTGTTTTGGTATTTCCCTGAATTTGGAGTTTTGAGTCTTGGGTCACTGTCTTGTTAGTGGCATGCCTACTCACCAACAATTATACTCCATTTATTTAAATAACAAGTTCAGTTGGTCAAATAAAAATTAAAGAGAAGCAGAAAATGATTAATTTATAACATACCAAACAAAATCCAAACCATTTTATTCTACAGCTTTCTCCTTGATGCCAGTGATCATGGTGACTATTACAATAGGAGTGGCAAAATCAAACTGCCACCTTTATACTTGTGAGATATATGCTCTCATTGAGCTACAATCCTTTAATCTAGGGTAGGAGGTTATATGGGAAAAGTTCCCATTTAAAAAAACAACAAATTCAGTTGGTCAACAAAATTAAAGAGAAACAGAGAATTTATGAAAATGATTATACAAAACAAATACTATTTTACAATTTTCCTCTTAACATCAGAGCCCAATGCAATTTCAGGGCCACCAGCCCTGCTCTGAATTGTGACTTCCTGTGCTTGATACAAGTTGCAGATTCTTGTTGCTTTGATGGATCTGGATATTTACATGGCACTACAATTCATCAGCAGAGTTGCAGCTTGGTCACAGAGCCATCCTTACCCCAGAGGTGGGATCATTGCAGGCAACTTTTCGTCTAACATGGCAGCCTTCTCTGGTCTGGAAAGATTAGTGAAAGTGTCATTGACGATTGATGCAGTCTTGGTAAACTCCAGAGCTTGTGCCCCCCCCCCCCAGATTTCAACATCATCATATCATTGGGAGAAACGTGGTCAGATTAGCCTTGTGTACATGAGAAACGTGTGAGAATGACTGTAAATGTGTTCAAGGTGGTGTGTGTGCTTCAACATCTATAAAATTTTCAATAACCAAACATTGCATATTTGAAACGTTTCTTTTTCAACAGTCAATGTTGCCTTGACATCTTGTGATTATATATTAATATATAATAGTATTATTATTATGATTACACAAAGCAAAATATTATCAATGAAAATCTTGTAATTACCCAGCAATGATCTGCTCCGTGTTTTGATTCCAATTAAAATATTTATAAACTAAAATAAAATACTTTTGATAAGTCTTCCGCTTACTCTCGGACAACTGTCCTAAATACTTCCTCCCCACACACTTCAAACACAATATCTTCCACGCACTCTTAATTCCTCAAAAACTAGGATTATTCTGGTTCTTCACTACTCCTTTCTTACTTGCCCCTGCTAGCTCCTTACCACACAAATAGCAATTAGCCCTATCATAAGGCTTATTCGGTGGCACTACTTCTCTATCAACTGGCTTAAACTCCTTAAACAAGTGGCAACCAAATATATTCCGGGCAACTGGTAAACACAACTCCGGACATAACACATGCTCCTCCTGACAAGCTTGGCAATGAAGTTTCTCAAAATCCCCTCAACCAAGGTTGAGAAACATATCAATCAATACAAATAAAAAATAGCATCTCTGGTTAGTTATTAACACGTTTCTTTAGGAGACCCAAACCAAACCAAACAACAACACTCATGTTCTGTCATCTTGGACACTGTCAAAAAATAAATTGTTTTTCCAAAACCCCCCCTCCCAATTCACATCTGTCCTACTAAAAAAAAACCAATAGGATAAATAATTAGTGTACACATTGATTAAACAACAAACTTCTTTTCTTAATTTTTTTTAAAAATGTCATCAAAAAACAAAAAAATAAGACAAGAAAATGAAATGAGGAATGATGGGTAAGTGTTTTAAGGATGGTGGTGGTTACTGCCTGCCACTCATCGTTACTCTAGTTAGTTTAAATAATAAAGATAAAGAAAACATCAAAGATATTGAAAAGGCAATGATGAAAAAGTATTTTTTCAACAAACTAATATTTAATGTTCAATTATGATCAATATTATTACAATATTCAACTCAATATATTGTTGTTTAGAATTAAAAAAAAATTTTTATATACATAATATATTTAGAAGTTGAGAAAACGAATCAGGGATTTAGAACAAGAGGCTATGGATCTAAAAAATAAATTAGTGTAAATCTCTTAAAAGTAAGTAATGGGTATACATCAGAGCTTGTTAAATATACAAAAAGTTATCTTTTGTTCACACCATTTGTTTATTTATTTATCCATCAATGTAATTTTTTCTCATTTTTCATGCATATTTTCCTTTTCATTAATAACAATCATTTTCACATGGTATCATCCTTAGTTTTGTTCACCAAAAAAGAGATTCTTGCTTTGATTCCTCCTCCTCTTGAATATCGAGATCTCAAAAAAGTCACCACAACAACAAATTCTGCCATGGCACAACATCCAGCTAAAATTTTTCAATGGCAAAGATTTACTCAGGATGTCTTCTCATGCAATTTTGACATAGACAATAAAGTATATGAGCAACCACATTTTATGAAATTCGAAGGAATATCAGATGAAGACTGTGTATGTGAGGCTGTTAGTATCAATGTTCTTCGACCTCTTAATTCAATTGGATGTAGATACAGTCCACAAGAAGAATATGCACAATATACTGTGTTTCCACATATTTTAGGAGAACCAGACTTTGTATGCTATCAGATAAATAGAGATGATATTAATATCTCTCAAATTCTTTAGCAATTGAAGTTAAGACAAGATGGGTCCTTACATTGAAAAATGAGCATCTTGCAGATAAATATGTAAGAAATTTAGTGAAATTATTACGGATGAATCATCTGGAGTTACCAACACATCAGGAAAATGGGTACAAATATTATGCGTATATAATATGCAATTGCAGGGATTAAGCATATAATATATGTACAATTTGCATACATAAAAAAATACACGATTTGTACGCATATTATATGCTTAATCCCTGCAATTGCGTATTATATACGCATAATATTTGTACCCATTTTCCTGATGCCAGCATCGAGCAAATATATAGTGAATAATTTACAATATGGAATTCTGACAACTTATGACCAAACATGGTTTATGAAATGACCTTCATCAGGAGATGCAAATATTTTCTACATCAGTGATGCTTTTAACCTTCCCTATAAAAAATTGGCATGAAAATGTATGGAAAACTGTACAGAATTTTACCTGAAATTCGCATTTTTCCATACAAATTCCATACATTTTCCCATACATTTCCATGCAAAATTTTTTATAGGGCTTAGTGAACAATCTATGTTGTTACAAGCTTTTGTGTACATGCAATCTCTTACCCACAAAAATCCAGAATCTCCAACTCCTCCTCCAACTCCATTGCAGTTAGAGATGGGCATTATGCAACTTTTTGAACATTGATTTGCATAATGCACATAATGCACATTATGATCTTTTCTATAACTGATTTATTTAAAAGTATAAATTTTATTCTTTGTAAATATAACAAATATAACCTAAATAAAAAAATTACCTTATTAAAATAAAATAATTATTTCTTAATCATTTTCATATCCATCTAACTCATATAATTCAATTGTGGTATCTGATTCATTTGATCCATTATCACTTTCTTCATCACATTCCCTAATCTCATCATTTAAATTCCCTTCTACTTCTGATAATCCATTATCTTCATTTTCATCATCATCTATATCAATACTACAATGTTTTTGTGGCTGCTGTAATTTATAATTACTATAAATATAAACTAACTTAAACACTCGCTCTGAGGTTAAACAGTTGCATTTTTTGTCATGAATATATGAAAAGGCTGACCAATTGCGTTCAGAAGCAGCAGAAGATGTAGGAATTCATTAAGTACATGATGTGAAACTTTGGTACATTTCTTAAGGTGTTGTTCACAATGATTTGCAGCAGTAAGCAATTTATGTGAACAATAATTACATTGAGCTCTTTCTTGTTTATAAGTGGCCTCATGGCCAAGCTTCATAAAATGAGACCAAATTTTACTAAGCGGAGGCATAAAATAAATTTTAAAAAAAAAAATAATTTGTGTAACATTGCATATGTTCATTATTCATTGGGACATTATGCACATTTTAAAAAATTCAGTGCACATAATGCACATTATGCATTATGCAATTTTGCCTATCCCTAATTGCAGTCAGAATATGATTTTACGGATTCTGAAGAGGATCCAAAGTCAGAATTAGATTCTGATTATGAACCACCAAACCTGGTAAAACAACACATGTCATTAACAGTTCTTTAATTGGAAATATTTGTACAAATTATATTCTAAATATCATTTTTTCCATTTTGGATGAAATTAATTTATCAAATATTATTTAGGGATGAAAAACTACAGCATCATTTTTGATTTGAAAACAATTATTTTCCCATGGTCATTTCCAATTGACATCATGCACTTATTTTTGAAAACATGGCACCTTTAATGTATTCCCATTGGAATAATACATTTTTTAAAGACTGTAATATTGTAGATGATTATGTCATTGAAAAAGAAAAATGGGTAGAAATTGGAAAAAAGCTAAAATTATCCAGAATGGAAATGCCTTCAAGTATTGGTAGACCACCAAGGGATATATATAAATACAATGCTGGATTTAAAGCAGTTGAGTGGAGAAATTGGATTCTTTTTTTTTCTTTGCCAATATTAAAAGATTTATTTAATAATGTGTAGGTATTAAATTTATTTTGTTGTTATCTTTAATATTAAATTTTACTAAAGTTGTATTTATTACAGTCATATAAAAGGTTGGAGTAACTTTGTAAAATCTGTGAAAATTTGCACTAAATATGAAATCACAAAGGATGATTTGGAAGATCTAAAAGTTTCATTGAAGAATTTTTATAAATATTATGAAAAGTGAGTATCAATTTAATTCTCAGCATCAGATTTTTTTTAAATTCATTTTAGCAAATCTTTCACTTCATAGCCTACTTCTTTAAGAGTAATTAAAATAATTTTTTTTTGTAGAAAATATTATAGAAATGATCCAACTAGATTGTCTGATTGTAGAATGTGTTTACACTATTTATTATATGTTTGCTTGATGTATTGAATATTTAGGTCCTTGCTGGTCTTATTGGCAATTTCTGATGGAAAAATTGTGTGGAATGTTTAACTCGGAACTGATGTTGACCAAAGCTTATGGAAAAGTTGGATATTTTTTCACACATCAGCACCAAAACAAAATCAAATTTTTAGCATTTATTCAATTAACTTCAAGATTGATTGAAGATACAAATCTTGAAATCACGTATTTTACCAAATTCAACAACTTATGAATTTATTGATGTGTGTTTAATTGATCACTGCATAGGATTGTTTAAATTGCGATCCACGTATTATATCCATGCATACAGAGAACAACGTGGG